TGCGGGGCTCAAGGGCTCTCGCCACCTGCCCGCGGCCGCCCGCAGTCCCGGTGCCGCGGGCGGGCGATGCGGGGGTGGCGGCCGCCCGCCCGCCCGCGATGTTCGGGGCGGGCAGGTACAGCATCCCGCGGCCCGTCACCAGGAACCTGGAGGACCTGGACTCGGTGCAGAGCGTCCTGCTGCACAGGTCAGTGCCCGGCACGGGGAGCGGGGGGCCGCGGCCCGAGATCGCTTCCCGAGCGCGGGAGGCTCCGGCACCCCTGCCCTTTCGCAGGGCAGGACCTGCAAGGCGGAGGGACAGCGGAGCCACCGAAGCCCCGGCGAGCTCCTCTTGTCGTGGCGGCAGGAAGGGCGAGGAGCCGGGGCTGCCCCTCTGGGCACGGCAAGGGAAGGGAAGGGGTGGCTGCCGCGGGGAGCCGAGGCGCCCTCAGGCTTCCCTCCCTCCTTCTTGGAGAAGAGGAGGACGTGCAGGTGAGGGACTCTTACATGTGCAGAGAAACGTGCTGATAACTCTTTCATATGGATTGATGCTGTTGCATCCATGCCATAAGCGTTTTGAACCCTTCTTTAAGGGCAGGGGATAATGTATTAACTCGCAAACAAATCCAAGAGGGATGGGAAAGAAATCCTTAAGTGGATGTACGGGAGGCGGCACACTATGAGAAGCAGCTGCTTTTCCTCCTGCATTCACCATCCCTAACAGGCGATTTTCCACGGTATCCCCCCACAAAGACATCTTGACAATAGGATCTTGCCCAATAGGCCCGTGCAGTATTCTGAAAGCCACCCTTAATGGCATTTTCCATGTGCTTAGCTGAGAGCCGCAGAAACTTTACAAAGAAAAACGCATCCCATTCAGCAGAATCCAAGAGAAGCTCATCTCCAGTTCTGCTAAAGTGTCCGTTTCCTGTTTCTCAGCCACGCTGGTTTATTTCCAGCTGCACAGAAAAAGCACACGGGCACTTCCAGTGCCAGCTCCAAGCAGCTCTTGCTATGGAAACTAACAAGTGGTTGTTAACTCCAGCTCAAGGCGTCAGCCGTGTGAAATCCATTCCTGTGAGCGCTGGGGATGCAAACACGGAGCATAGCAAGGAGGGCATGCTGCAATCAGCCTGCTCCGGCACGGCTCTGAGGCTGCTTTATGCGCAGTAAATGTGCTCGTGTGCAAACAGAACCCCATGGACTTTTCAGTGACTTAACAGAAAATGTTCTATTTCAGAGCCGGATTAAAAACATGCTGTCCCGTGGTATTGCTTATGTTAATATACTCTAAGTGGAATAAGGCTACTCATGCTTGAAACATTTGCATGTTGACTGACTGCAAATAATGGTTTTCTTTCATGCCTGACATGCCTGCTATGCATAGCAGGTGATCCTAAAAAAAAAAAAAAAAAAAAAAAAAGCAGCATTTAAAACATTTAAGGTGAAGTAAAAGCAGTAGGAAAATATAATTAAAATTACAGCTGCTTTTCATTCTGGAGAAAACTCTTAACTCTATTAGACTGTTTTTCAAAAGAATGGGATGAGTTGTACTACTCTTCCCGGATTTTTCATTACTGTCTTCCTGTTGGTTTTGTGTTCTTCTGAAATACCTTCTGTGATCAGAGCTGATACAGAAAGCTTAAGAAGTCAGAATATCCTCTTTCATTTATTGAGCACTAGAGTGTTTGCTCACAAAATTTCTGTTCCTTTGGTCCCAGAGATAGCTTTCATTCTCCGTGGACTCTGTTTACATGTAAATATCCCAATTAAAACGACAGCCCAGTGTCGCTCTTCAATTCACACCACTTTGCTGTGGATGGTCTCTACACGGTCCTGTCAGAGGAGCTGTGAACAGAAGATTCTGTAACCACAGCCTTACACGGTTTTATGGAAACGTGTAATCAAAACAATCTTAATTATTAAGGAATCCTTGTGAAATATGTATTTTGTCCTCTAAGAAACACTTGGGCAGGAGAGGGGAAAGTCCTGTTGTTGTCATTAATCTTTTAAAAAGAGGGAATTATTTCTGACATATTTTGCTCATGCTGTGCCCTGGAGGAATAAAAAAACCCCAGGAATCAATAGCTGAAATTTAATGTCACTCATATTTTTTTGTTTTTCTTTCAGTAAAGCAGGTGCTAGCAAGAAACACAACTGAAAAACAAAGATTAATTTATTTCCCTTTTAGTTTTATCTGCTTGTAATGTATCATGTTTTATCTGCAGTGCATCATTTGTGTCTGTGCAGCTGTTGGTAAAGCCTTCCTGAAAATATTAAGTGATCTGAAATCAAGAAAGGAAAAAATGAAACATTAACAAGTCACTTATGGCCTTCTTACCTCATTACCACTAATGAAGAGCTGTAATTTGAAGCGTGGAACCAGTGTGTCCTATACCCTGTCGTCTTTTAACTTCAGTCTCCTTCTGAATACAGGCATGGATCAAGGCAGGCAGTTATTTTTAAAGCACAAAAGCTTCTGTAACAGGTTAAGCCAAAAATAAAAAAAATATAAAAAAAAAAGTAACGAGAAACCCTTGCTCAGGAAATAAATTTCCACACGTGGATTTAGTTCTTTGCAGGAACAGCTAATCAGAACAACCTTCAGGCTTTAATTATCCTTGAGCACCTAGTGCTCATTACCCAGTTGTCCAGTGAGGGTGAGCAGTGCTATTGATGCCAGTGATACCCCCTGGCCGATTTTTACCATCTGCATGTTAAAAACAGCAACTTGGCATAGAAGGCTCATGGATTCCTTAGTGAGGAGCATCAGCCCCAGCTCCTCGGATTAAGTGCTAAGTGTCTGCCAGAAGACAAATTATTTCAAGTTTCATCCTAATATTTATGCCCAAGAAATGAGAGGTTTTCCTCTCAAGAGGGAGTGTGTGGGAAAATCTGTGTCTTCACTAAAATAAGATCCTGCTGTGTGAGATATATCCTGCAATCTTTAATTGTTCCCACAGCAGCAGAAATTCCACATTCATTTCAGCAAAGTCTTTAGGTGGCTCCCAGCTACTCCTCTCAGAGGACCAGAGCCTTCCATCATCCTTCCATTCACAATATGCTTATTCCTATAAAATAGCAAGTGGTGTAAAACCACTGCCTCCTTGAGAGAGAGTCTGTATTTCTCACTTAGTGAGCAAACAACTGGAACCAATTAATCAGCTCTTGAACTCAGGGAAATTTAACTAACACAGCACCATCTGGCATTGACTATCACTTCTGTACAGAAACACTTCAGTGTGCTGCTCGGAGTATTAAAAGTGCTTGCAAATGTAAGCATAATTAGGGAGGGTGAGACAGTAGATCTCACCTTCTAAATGAAACCATAGTAGCACAAGCTTTTTTCTTTAGGAAATGTTTCTGTCTCCACCTCTGGATAGGTTTGTAGTCTTAATAACCACGCAACTGTAATTTATCTGTGAAATCAGGCCTTGTCCAGGGACTTCAGAATGGCCCTTCAGTACTTAATATAGGTATTTTTACTCCAGTTGAAGCCTTAATCACACGGATGTGAGTCCAAAACATTTCTGTCTGTTAATTCACTTGAAATCACGCTTACTAATATATGCTTCCCTAAAGCAATTTCAAGTACAGCAATTTCATACCAGGATTCTGTCACTCCTCTGTAGTGTTCCAGGGCTATAAAACCTCACTGCTGAAGCTGTGCAAATATCCCACTGAGCAGAGATTAAATCCAGCACATGAAACATGTTCCAGCAATTACTCTCCATCCTTTTCCCTACTCACCATGTGTGTCCTGATGGGTTTACTGACACAGCTACACAGCAAGTTGTCTGCACGCCTGCCATAGGTCTTGTTTTTCATGGATCTGAATAATTTGAGTCCTGAAAACCGAGCGGGGGTGGTTTTTTGTGTGTCTCGACAGTGCATGATTTTACACGTGTAGACTGCACGGGCTATTTTAAGGTTCTTGTTTGGGTCTGTCACATCCTTGCTTCTCCTGAACCGCCCTGCTCTCCTGACAAACCTAAGGAGAGACAACCTTAATTTCTCACAGCTCGTTAAATTGATACAATAGCACATAAAATAAAGTACAGAGGGATCCCCTTGCTTACCAGGTGACTTTTTACCTCGTGTTTCGCCCTCCTGATCAGTGCTTGGTTACAGCGCTCTGAGCCTCACCCCACCCTCACCCCGGGTGCTGGCACCTTGGAATCAGGCAACTAAATAAAGTCTGGTTCTCCACGGCGCGTTCCTGTTGAGCCAGGGAAAGGCGACCGAGGGCGGGAGGAGGCCGGGCACACGGGAATTCCCGTGGCCATGGAGGATTTGCCCCCGGCGCGGAGGGACGGCCCCTCACGGCGGGGCGCTCGCGCGTCCCTCCGTTTCCATGGCGAGCGGGGCGCCGGCCAATGGGAGGGCGCAGCGCGCGTCACGTTGCCCGCCCCGGCGCTCGGCTGTCATGGCGTCCGCGGCGGCCGTCGGGAGTGGCGCTGCTGAGGGGATGGAGGCGGCCGGCGGAGGAGGCGCCGAGCCCGCGGGCACCGGCAGCGAGAGCGGCTCCGGCGGCTCCTCTCTGGCTGCCAGCTCCGAGTAAGCGCGGGGCCGCGGGGGCTCGACCGGGGTCGTGACGGGAGGGCTCGACCGGGGTGCGCGGCGGGAGCGCCCCGCCGCTGCTTGGCTGCGCTGGGCTGGGCTTGGCTTAGGTGAGCTGGGCTTAGCTGGGCTGGCTCTAGGAGCAGAGAGCCGTGCGAGGTTTCTGACCGCGTCTCCCTGCCGATAGCACGGTGTGGGCTCAGCCGCGGGCGCTCCTTGCGCCGAGCTCTGCATCCCCGCTGGGCAGCGCAGGCCGAGGAGGGACTTGGCACACGCTCTAGCAAAAAAGGTCTAGTCTTTCAGTTTAGTGCCCTAAGTCAGAAGGCAATTCTGTATAATACGTATTTTAAAGTTACCAATGCGACCTCCGGGGTTTTAGTTTATTTATATTTTTTTTTATTCGGATGAAGTTAAACTTACAACATTGACTTGGTTCCCTGTGTTAAAACAGCCGTGCTTTACAATTCGAATGTGTAAAGCACATTCTTCACACATCTTCAGGCTAAGTCAGAAGATAGTTCTGTAATAATACATATTTTAAAGTTGTAAATGCAACCTGCGGGGTTTTAGTTTATTTGTATTTTTTTTTTTTGTTGGAATGAAGTTAAACTTACAACAGCAACTTGGTTGTTTACAACTCACAACATTGACTTGGTTCCCTGTGTTAAGACAGCTGTGCTTGACATTTCAAGTGTGTATTTCAGGGTCCAATCGATAGCATTTCATTCAGCCTGTAAGTTTCATCAGGCTGTGCAGTGGAAGGGGAAAAAAAACGTTTAAGTGGGAAAAGTTAGAATTGTGTAGTTGATTTTGTAGTTGCCCTGTACCTCTGGCTCAGAGATAAAACTGTTGTACATACACCTACATTACTTTATTCCTATATTTATAAGCCAGAAATCAACTGTAACATTTCAGCTTGAAGCCATGTTTTCTTTTAATATTTTGTGTGTTTGGGTTTTTTTTTCTTTTCTCAGTTCTTTCATCTAAAATGCCTTTTTACTGTCATTCTTTATATATGTTAAGGGAATAAAGCTGTTCCACAGACATAACACGTCTACTACTTGCAATGACATGTATAGTACTTGTAATAATTTATCTACATAACAATTTATCCAGCAGAACTTGGATCCTTTCTAATTTATCTTTCTTTCATAAATGGACAATTTCAATCAGCACAGTTTTTCAGACATTTATCCTAAAGAGGAAATACCTGTGTGGGATGAGTGAAACTACTCTTAGAGAAATGCAGGCCTCCAGGATTTTTAGCTCCCTTGACTGAAGCTTCCAGTCCTAGAGGCAAGTTGAGGTTGTTGTGTAAGCACTTGTTTTGACACAAGAGAAAACAGATCAACATTAGATTTATTATTTTTTCCTTTTTTCTTGCCTTGTTTGGTTTAAATTTATTGTGACACTACAGTATTAGGGGGAAAAACCTCTCATGCTAGGTGCAGACTTCTTGTTTCAGATTTGCTTTTCCAGATGTCTGTGAGGATCTCTGTTGGGAAAGTGAGAGTTTTCTTACAGTACAGTTTCTTCTTGACTTCTCTGTGGAGTGGTTCTGTTTGGGTGAGCACAGAGTAAACACCAGACATTCCCACAACTTTTTTTTTTTTTTTTTTTTTTTGCCATTGGTCTGTATTGTTTTAATCAAAATAGAGAACAAAGCTGGAGAACATGAGTGTATGAACTCATGTCCAGGCTGAAATGTTGACATCTACCCCAAAGAAGAAACAGCTTTTCCAAAGATCAGTCTTTTTTAAAGAGGGAATAAAAATGCTATCATACATGACAGGAGTTCTTGCTAATGCAGATGAAATTTCTTTGTAAATTTCTAGTGTTTCCTTTTTTTTTTTTTTTTTTTTTTTTTTTTTTTTTTTTTTTTTGTGGTGGGGGGGAGCTCATTGGTTGATTTGGGGATTTTGGTTTTTTGTTTGTTTTGGTTGGGTTTTGTTGGAGGTTTTTTGCTTGTTTGTTTTTGCTTAATTTTGCTTACACATGCCAGAAGGTGGGAGCACTCCTTAAAAAGCAAACCAAGGAAAAACTCTTCTCCTGTTATTTCTTACCTACCACCTTCTGAGAGAAGTTGAATCACAAAGAGTGTGCCCTTGACAGCCTTTAGCTTTTGTCAGCATTCTGATACTTTCTTGAATAAGAACTCAGGATTTTGAAAATCACAAACTTGGATTTATCCCTCAGGTATAGCCAAATCATCACAAGTGGTGGCTCTTCTTTTAAACTATCTGTTTGGGTAAAAAAGCTAATAAATTAATTTTCTCAATAACTGGGGCTCCAGAAAGACAGTAATGCCAATGTTTTCTGTGTTGTTAGTCCAGCCAGATCCTCTTGTTGAGCCCTTAAAGGTACTCTGGTGCAATGTCTGTATAATCTTCTCCATTCAGCTAAACTTTTATAATTTAGCTGTGTTTTCAGATTAATGCTCTATTTGAATATTTGCTACTAGCTTTAAACCAGATTTGCACTCTTTATTCAGTGAAAGTAGTTCTAGTGTGAAATGTGTGAATGTGTGTTGACTTTAAACTACTATATTAATTATGATGTAAATCTACAGTCTCATTTTTATTTATATGATTTTTATGAAACAGAGAGACCTCTTTCTCATCTGCTTAGGAAGAATTAACTGGTCTTGTCTGTTCCTGAAAATCTTCCATGCAGAAAATTCCAGATAATTAAACCTATGAGTACTCTTCTTACTTTGGCCATCATGGATGCTTATCTATCTGCAGTAACACTCCATGGTTCTCCTCGAGGTTCGTTTGGTCTGTTGCCCCTCAGCAGGCAGTTTTTGGTTGTTTTTTTCTTCGTTTCCTCAGCCAAAAGAATATAATTTCCTTCAGTCTCCTTCCCTTTAAATGTGTTTGTAGGCTATATAGCATTTGTCTCTTTGCTCTGGGTATGTTCCATCTTTCTTAAAACCTAATATCCAAAACTGGACATGGCTGACACATCACCATTGCCAAATTAGGACAAAAAATTTTTTTGCACTGTGCTGATTATGTTTCTGTTATATCCTGGAGCTGCTTTGCCTTTGCTTTGCAGAAGTGTCTTGCTCTTGACTTTGGGTGATCCACACCAGCTGCCAGATCTCCTTCTGTAGCCGTGCTGCCTCTTTGCATTGTTAGTGTGTATTTTTGCAGATGCTGTTTGGAACTTGGGTTTTAAAAACTGTTACCTAGATTTTATCTTAGATTGTTTTGGGGTTTATTTTAATGTTAAATCTAAGTGATTTTTAAAATGTTTATCTTCCCTTTCCAAAGGACTGGCAGTGCAATCTGTGTTCCCATAGCATTACAGAATATCCTGAGATAGAAGGAGCCCACAAGGATAAAAAACTCCATCTTCAGGCTCTGCACAGAAGAGCCTCACCTCAAAAATCATGCCATGATTATATTACAAATGCATAAGGGAAAAATAATGGGAGAGAACAAATAGAATGGAATTTTTTCTCTTAAGAGGAAGTCCCATTGAGCACATGAATGTAATTACTAATTAAGACTTGCATGTCAGAGAAATGTTTGTTTTCTGAAAAGAGAATACTGCTTTTTGCAATGGCTGTTTTCCTCTAAGGCATTTGAAGAAACTGGGGAGAGGGATGTCTTTCCTTGCCATATCCATAATTTATATAAAACAAGCTCTAACCCTTGTGGCAGACTTAAAGCAGTTGAGCTGTCAATGTTCAGGAGGCAACTTTTTTTTTTTCCCCACTTTTTATTCCATCCTTGCACTCTCTCTGTCCCCTCCCTACTTAAAATAATCAGATCTCACTTGCACGGTGATCTTCCTTATCAGAACTCATTGATCATTCTTCTTTTTTTTCCAGTGACCTTGAGCCCGAGTGGTTGGATAGTGTGCAGAAAAATGGAGAATTATTTTATTTAGAATTAAGTGAAAGTGAAGAAGAAGTTCTGCTTCAGAACAGCTGTCCAGAAATGCCAGCAGTGAATCATGTCAGGTTTCGGGAAAATGAAGCTGAAATCATTCAAGAGGGATCACGCAAGGAAAGAAAGTATGAACTGAAGAAATGGACCAAAATGCTAAAAAAGAAGAGTCTTTTACCAAAGAGTTCTGGTAAGAAAGGTAGTGGCAGCTGCAGTGAGCACCCGTCTGGTCCTACTTCCATATTGAAGCACCGGTCTGCTCAGAAAATGGGTGTCACTGTTCAGCAAAAGTACAAAGATGTGTGTGTTTATGTAAATCCCAGAAAACTCTACAGTGCTGGGGAAGAAGAGCAGCAGAGGCTGCTGGAGGCCTTAGTAGGGATTGTCCATCAGTCTTCATGGAGCAGCAGAAGAGTGGAAAAACAAAGCAGGAAGGATAAAGCCACCAGAGGAGTCAGTGAAGAGAAGCTTGTGGTACATGGCTTGGTGCCAGGTAGTTCTGCAATGAAAACAGGTCAAATCCTGATTGGTAAGTAACTGAAGGAATAGCTAACTTCTGCACTCTTCCTTTAATATGAAGATTTATGGTGGTTTTTGCTTTTAGAGACAGCTGACTTGAATATTCTTGAGACGTAAGCAATTACATCAGTTCTCGAGGGGTTATTTTAAGTCAGTGTCATTGCATCTGATGGTTTGGTACCCAGTCAGTTTCACTGTGTTACTGATTTTTACAACACGTGGCATAACCTAAAAGGTGTTAATGCAGTAAGGAGATGACCATCCCTTAGTGTTCAGACACTGAGCAGCCTGGAGCAGGAAATACCCCACCACCACCTTTGACTTAAGATTTTAGCTGAGGAGTTGCTCAGTAGGTAAGTGGGACTGGAGCAAACCTATAATGTGCCAGATACTGTATTTAGATTTTGTTCTTCTCCACAGCATCCCCCTTAGATAAAAGCTTTGCTTTTATATGCTTTAAGTGGATTTTGTATCATAAAAATGAGGGGGAAAATACTGAGTAAGTTGCATTCTTACATTACAAACTTTCTCCACAGCCTTGTTTGGTTATTTTTCTGTTTAGCAAGTCCAACAGCAGCTTCCTCAGCAGTTGTGACTTTGGGAGGTTCCAAATCCATGGCAGGGCTGCAGTTTGGGGAGGCAGTGAGCCAGTACAGCCTTTATGGTGGTTTGGCAGCTCAGGCACTTCCATGAGCTGATGAAATAAGCTGGAAGGAAACTAACCCAGAAGAGAAATCGGCTATTTGTATTTTGCTGGTGCAGTAAGTTAAACTTGGGTCACAGAAGATCTGACAGGCACCCAAATGTGAATGATGGAGGGGAATGAACTGCTGTCAGGGGTAATGAGGGAGCAGAAATACTCCCACTCCCAGCACTGAGGCCACTCAAAACTTGGAACTCACAGGACATCAACCTCAGAGACAGTAAATGTGAGACAACCAAGCCATGTCTGTAAAGGGTGAAAGATTATGTAATTACCCTTGAAGCTGGTTGCTCACAGAGTAGGAGAGGAAAGATGTGATGTTGGTTAGAAGATCATTAAAAGTCTTAATGCTATAAGTAGCACAAATCCCCCAAAGTCAGCATGAGTGCTTTTGAAATTCCAGTGTTGTGTGTGTAAAAAGGCACATCGTGCTTCAACTGCCTGATTGCTCCAGCACGAGTTTTTGGTAGAGATGCTAAAGAATACTCCAGAGGGAAAATTGGATAACTTTCAAATTTTACCAGCAAGAACTGATTAGTCAAGATGTGGGGGAGGAAAGACTGAGTTTCAACTTGATCTGCTTAAGGGTGTTTAATCTAAGTAGTGTAAGAGTGGGTGTTTGTAACCTGTAAGTTAATTTTGGGACACAGATTTGTATATAACATTTTTGTGAGGGCAGGTGTGAAGTCTCAAGAGTGTAGGCAAGTACCAGATCCAGGAGATCAAGCTGACCTGACAAGAGACAGTATTTCATCTGCTGCACTTAATGTTTCCCAGACCTAGTGGGGATGAAAACTGTGGGGTTTCTTTTGTTTGTTTCAAATAGAAGAACATTTAACTTCATCTAAGAAGAGTCTTGCACTTTATTATGTCCCAGGCTATCATCAACCCTTGCCTTGTGTTTTTTGCACATTGGAAATGAAATAGTTCTAAGCATACTGGGGATATTCAGCTCTTAACTGGGAAAATGAGCTGTGCTCAGTGCCAACAATGGAAAATGTATAATTTTCATATAAAAATACTTTCAAATTATATATCTATAGTGAAGCTGAGTACTCTGGAATTTTTATGTGGTGTCTAGAAATAGGGATGCTTTGCATAAATTAGATGCTCAGATTTCAGTCTTGTCTGCATAAAGAATATACAGTAAAAAAAATGCTGTTCTTGTCAAAAATCTGTTGGGTTTACTGCCTCTGTACTGCACATCACAGGATGGGATAGCTGTGGTGTACACCTAAAGTTGTGGTGTACACCTAAAGCCTGATTTAGAAGCAACTACAGTTCAATAGATAGCTCCTGAGATCATTACAGGAGCTGAAGCCGCACAGAAAGTTCAAGAGCAGTAACAGCAGAACTTTGCCTTTCAGTGGTTCTTGATCAAAGCAGGTTTTAGGAGTCATGTGGAGAATTGTGGAAACAGCCAGTAAAGGATGTTTTTGTGCTCAGTTTGAAACTGAAGAATTAGCACAAAAGTGAGCAACTCCTTAGGCCATCACAGAGGAGGCATACCTGATCAGCAGAGCACAATCCTTGCTGGGGCTGCTCTGCTTATAACTTTGTTCATCTCCACTGACCTGTATGTGTATAAACATTAACCTGTTCTTGTTTAGCTTTATAATATTTCAGTGCTCCAGACCAGCTTGGCAGTAGTCTTTGTGAGGCAAATACAAATTATATTTTCCTTTAAAAATACATGCTTTACAATGACATCTGGTTGTCTTCCTGGTCACCAGTTTGCAGCAATCATTTTGACTGGCAAAGTGGTTTATGCTTCAGCATTTTTAGTGAAGTAACTTCTTTTTCAATCCTTAATAATCACTTTCCTCAGGTGGCTTCCCCCATTTGTTTTGAAACGTGTATCCTTTACAGCTTTGAACACTTCAAACATCTGTTTATTATTTGCACAATACACTTTAATTTTTGGTTTTAAGATTGCATATGGAAGTCGTAAGTCTTGTTGCTGTACTTTTTTAACCAAGTGGAATACAGGCACTGACCATATGAAAGTAAACACAACAGTTTTGCAAGTTAAAAAACCCTGCTGCTTTCTAACTCTAAGAAGATGGCACACTCTATCCATGTGTTGTTTATCAGTTAATTTATCTTTTTTTTTTTCCATTTAGCAGGCCAGCATCCATCTTAAATTTTCAAAACAAAAAAGCCCTCATTGATTTTTAAACTCGCTGCCACTTTCATTTTGGTTAAGATGAAATACAGTTGCTTCTATCTTGTGTTTTTTTAAATGTCTTTTGTATTTTTGGCAAAACATTTTCCTTGCTTCAGTTAATTTGCAACATTATGCAGAGCTTGGTCTGCTGTGGAAAACTTTGAGCATATCTTCAAAGGGAGAAAGCTTCTCAAAATACTCACATTTAGAACCAGACAAAAAAGGGTTGTGACAGGTAATGCCATTATAATTTGGTTCCCACCCCTCTTCAAATTGAAACATGTTGGCTTCATGCCAGGGAAGAGTTCTTTTAAATGCTGATGATCATCATCTTTACCATAGTACAAGTAAAAACTTAATTCCAATGACACTGAAAATACAGCAAAGCTCTTTTCGCTGACAAAGCATACTGTTGTTATCCTCTTTGAAAGTATCTTACTGCTCTCATAACCAAATAGCTCAGCATGAATCTTCCCACTTTATCAGTATGTACAATTGTCAAAAAAATGTGAAAAATCCCCACTGACAAGAAGTAATTGTGTTTGATAGTAAAGGTGGGCTATAATAATCTGGTTTTGAACATGTATGCAAAAGCTATAGTTGCTATTGCAAATTTAAATCGAAAGGTCTATATCCTTACAGTCCTGTCAGAAAAAAAAAAAAGCCCTTTAAAGGACCAAAATACTGGGAGAGTTTGTGATTTTTATGTGGAATTGCCATACATGGTGTATTTGTTGAAAAGACTCTCCAGAGTAGAGATGTTGGGCTCACAGGATGGAAACAGAGTTTGTGTCTGCTTTTCTGTGTTCTCACTGTGGCGTTTGCGATGTGGCTTTTATTCTTTTAATCTCCTCTTGAGGCACAGCAGCACTGGTTTGGATGAAAGCAGCCTGCTAACATATAAAACAAGTAATTGATCTGCCTTTCTTCAGTAGGAATGTATTCCATAGTTTGCCTTTTTAGGAAAGGCATATGGGAACTTTTCTAAGTGCTCCCACCAAGTCATTACTGAGAACAGAGAAAACTAAATATCAGGATTCCATGACAAAAGTGTCCTCCATCCTCTCCCATGGGAACAGCTTGATTTTCATGATATCAAAAAAACATGTGCCCTTTCCATCACGGTATGGAAGTGGTGCTCACTTGCCAGTCAGTGTCCCTGGGCTTAATCCAACGGGGATCTACTTTTAGAAATGGTGCTTGCAGGTTTGTCTCTAGGGAAGGGATGGTTAACAGAAGTCATAGTCTTGTGCCTCAAGTGGCAAAGAGATAGGCAGCTCTGAAATAAACATTCTAGGGATGTCAGCAGTGCCAAAGACTTTCCTAAACTCTGTCCTTAAAGAGGAAGGAATAATTCCAGCAGCTGTGTGCAGACTGGGTGTTTGAGATCAAGACACACTGGTCTTAGGTGCTGCTGACTGGATGGGAGAAGTCTCTTCTGATGAGAACAAATGAAATAGAGAGAATTCATTCAAAGTTCAGCCCTGCTTAACATTGTGCAGAGATCATATATGGATGTCTTACAGTTTCTTTGTGAACTGAGAATCTTTCCACATAAAGTGATAGCACTCAAAAGCTTGATCATTCATTATTAGGAGATTTAAGTAAAGCTTAATTCGTTCCTTCAGAAGAGTCATAGACTCATAGAACAGTTTGGGTTGGAAAAGTCCCTAAAAGTCATCTAGTCCTTTCCCCACACCACACCCATCCAACCTGGCCTTGGACACTTCCAGGGATGGGGCATCCACAGCTCTACTGGGCAACCAGTGCCAGGGCCTCAACACCCTCACAAGAAAGAATCTCTTGCTAATATGTAGTCTAAACTACTTTCTTTCAGAAGGACTAATTTTTTTTCTAAAGATAAATTTGTTGACTTAAGGAATGATATCCTGCAGCTGCCTGAAGAAAATTCCTTTCCTCTGTTGCAGTGGAATTGAATGATACTTTGTTCTGATGTTTCTCCCTGCATCTGCAATTCAGTGATGTTTTAGATTGGGACCAGCTTAATCAATTTCAAAAGTTATTTATTTTGTATATATTCTGTATACACTTTGATTTCATTTAACCTGAATTGTTTAAGTATTAGGTAAGTGAAATTAGATTAATACAATTGCATTAATTTTTTGACATAATGAATGCCTGAAGACCTGAATCAGTCTGTCTTTCTGTACGTTTTTCACCCTTGCTAAAGGGCAAGAAACAATTTTCAAATAAAATGTAGATGTCAAGCTCTTACAAAGTACAGCTTGCATGTATTAACTCTTTCACTGCAGTTAATTATCACACGGAGTAGATCTTGTGGTCATGTCCTGCTTTAAGACTACTCTGGGTTTGTAATTTTACACAGCTCATACTTTGCCCAGTAATGTTATTTGTTCTGTTACTTCATGGTCTTTATTCTTTGACTGCTGTTGTGTGTGGCAAAAAGAAAAGTAGCAAGAAATGCAAACACCCACCCCTTGCTGCCTCCACCTCCAATTCTGGAAAACCCACACTAATCAGTAAAGATTTTCTGTTGTGTATCAAGTTGCCCTTCTTTGATAGTGCTACGGCATTTTCTGGCAAAAGAAAGGCAGCCTTACAGGACTGCTTGGGCTGTGTGCTCTGGAAAGCTGTTCCATGTATGGTCCATGATTACATTTTTACCAATTGGATGGAATAAATATTTACTGCTGCAATGAAAGTTTTACATGTGTACATTAGGCGCTGAATAAATAAAACCCTTGGAGTATGTAAATGTAAATACTGATGGCTCTTCTCCTTTCAAAGTGTCTTTGTCTATTCCACCCTGGTGGTTCCAAAACATTCCCTCAAGTGCTGAGGTGTGGATGTCTTCACAAAGTGTGTGCAGCTCCTCTGAATGGCTCTGCAACAGAATTCCTCAAGATCCAGTCAAACAAACAGAATGCAAACAAACAATTTTTATTTAAGCAGATGAATTTAAGATGAGTACAAGTATGCTTTCTCTTGTAGCTGTGTTATAATGATCTGTAATACAGTGTTCTTAACAGAGGACATAGTAATCCTGTTTATAATTCTTGTTATATTAGAGTAGCCTGAGTGCTCTGCTTTTCATTACTAATTTTCATGTCCTGGGGCTCTGGCATGGACTTACTGAGTTCCTTTTAAATGCTGTTTAACTTTCAGCTTTTCTGACTTTGAATTACTGTTGTGTTGAACATTTGACAGGCTAAAACTTAACTGTGCTGTGCATCAAGAAACACAGAGGTTAGGGAGAGAGCTATTTCTTGAAAAGAAAAACTTAAAACTTTTTCATATGTAGAGTAAAATGTAGCCTTTTCGTGGCTTTGCATTCAGAAGGAGTAGGAATGAATTTCCCTTTAATGTAAAAGAAGAATGAGCAGCTGATTACCTGGTGTATTAAAGAGGAGTATTGCTTGCATTTTGGAGGTAATCAGTGCTTCCTTACTGATGGTTTAGAATAATGTTCTGTCTCTTGTTGGCCTTGATTTTGATCACTGCTGATTTTGAGTTGTCAACCTTGTACCTGGGAAGAATCCCAGTTGCAATTTGAAGGTATTTAAAACCAAGGTAGAACACAGAAATCCTCGTAATTGTCAGTCTTCTTCTGAACTTGAGCATTCCGTGTCCTTGAATAGATTCTCGGGGAGTGAAGAGACCTTAGAGACTCAGGCTGTGCTTTTCCATAGTGTGCATGTCATTAGCACTGTGTCAGTTTGAGCTGAGCAAGTCTTCTCCCTGGAAAACTGAAATACACACCAAATCTTACAGTGCTTCAGTGCTTTATTTCTGCACTTGATGACATCTTTGTTGCCAAGTCAAGGCTTAAAATATAACTATGCACTTTTACTTGCACTTTTGCTGCAAATCCATATCCTTTTTCTAATCCTTTTCCACTGCCTGCGTGATGAACACCATGTTAATAATCTTGGAGAGGATGTGGAGGTACTTTCTAGGGGAGTCTTTGTGCAGCTCAAGCAAAATGAAGCTTGGTTTTCAGTCTGCTTGTTCAGAGGAGCTCTTTAGTTCACATTTAAGAATTGGGTCACTTTCAGTGTTAAGAAGCTAACTATTTTCTTTATTTCCCTATCTACAGAAGATACAAGCTAGAAACTAATAGAGTTTTTCACAAGAGAAAGCAGAGACAACTGAAAGTGCCACTAAAGAAAATCTAGTAGAAAATAAGGCCTATTTTGTTACTCTAAAGTTGCATATTTGCCTCTGTGAAGGAACTAATGAACCATTAAATCCTGGTGCCATTGGCAGTCACTTCTTACAGTTCTTGTCATAAATTTATGTTGCCTCATCTTAGGTAGTTTGCTCTAAGTACCTTTATTGGAAAATTTTGTAGAAAGTCTCTGGTTAGGGTCTACAGAACCTTCTGATTTCCACTCTAGCTGCTTTCTCACTTAGGCTCTGCTCACTTTGTCTTTAACTTTAATCTTCTTAATTTCCCATGGTTGCTGCAGTATTACTTCTGTCTATCTGATCTCATTTGATTTCTTTTTTCTTGAGCAGAGGTGAATAGGACTGTCAGGAGTACTTTGGATGGCATCACTCACCTACATCCTAAGGAAAGGCCAATGAATGGTCAAAACCCCTTTTATTTTTACTTTCCGATTTCTGTTCTTTTTGACTGGTCTATGTAGTTTTATCTCTTGATGTTATTTTACTTTTATGTTTTCTAGTTTCCCAAGTTAATTTTCTTTTCCACAGGTCTTCTATCTCCCTTGCACACTCCATGCATTAACGTATCTTTTTGAGGGGGATGAGGCATAGGTTATCAATTAATTACCACTGGCATACTTCTTGAGGTTATTTTCCTTCACTTCATTTAGAACTCCCAGTTTGATTTTTGTACTTTAGACTGTAATGTGAATTTTAAGTTTGTAAGCTACAATTCAGTTCTGTTTGCTTTTGTAGGTGGTACCTTTAATTTTTCAAACCTTTTTCTCTTGCAGTTAATGACTTTATCCTTGGGATCCTAAGGGGTTTTTTTTCCCCATTTCCAGTGATAGTAAGAGTGTAGGATGTAGAAAATACAAGAAGCCTTTAGGCAGGAAAAACTGGCAGATAAAAACATGGAGAGGACTCACAGCAGGGGGCAAGAAATGGAAGAGAAAGGACTAAGTTGAGAAATTTGCTATGTTTTCTGGTCAGGTAACAAGAGTGAAACAAGACTGGATGGAGGGGTGAGGCTTGGAGAGTTTTTACACAGGAGGGCCATCAAGATGATCAGAGAGATGAAGCACTTCTCCTAAGGAAGGACTGAGAGAATTGAGATTGTTCAGCCTGGAGAAAAGAAGCTTCATGGTTACCTAATTGTGGCCTTGAAGTACTTGAAGGGAGAGTACAGGAAGGATGGAGAGACACTTTGTAAAAGAACATGTAGTGACAGGACAAGGGGGAGTGTTTTTAAACTCACAGTAGATTCAGATTGAGCATGAGGAAACAAATTCTTGACTGTGAGGATGGTGGGACACTGGAAATGATTGCCCAGAGAAGCTGTGGGTGTCCCATCCTTGGAAGTGTTCTAGGCCAGGCTGGATGGGATTTGGAGCAACCTGGTCTAGTGGAACATATCCCTGCCTGTGGCAAGGGGTTGGGACTGGATGGTCTCCAAGGGTCCTTCCAACCCAAACCACTCTATATTTCTATGATTTTTGTCAAATTATGTAAGTGTGGCCCTAAGGCCTGAGGAGCACTGAGGTAACAGACTAAAAGTGGTAAATGTTGCATGTAACAAACATCTACTTAAATATAACAAATGGACATTTATGACAGCTTGAATGGCATATTAATATTTTTAGTAAGACACTGTTTTGCTCTGTATTGTGATGCAGTTGCAACTGAATTTCTCATTTCTTGTCTGTTCCACCTCCAGGAGATGTTCTTGTTGCTGTAAATGATGTCGATGTGAATTCTGAAAACATAGAGAGGGTTTTGTCTTGCATTCCAGGTCCTATGCAGGTACAGTATCCTCTGTAAAATCCTCTGTAAAAGTTAGTACTGCTTCTAGCACTTTTTCCTGAGGAAACAAAATTTAGTTGGCCTTTTTCTTAATACTTACTCTGTTACCTTTTGAATGCATTGCTTGACTTCAGTCAGAATAGAATTTTCAGAGTTTAATTCTGATAAAAATCAGAATCAGAAAAATCCTATGAAAATAGGTAGGTGCTGATGTCCAGCTTAAAAATAAACATGTCAGCAGAATAGTAGTGGATTTTTTTTTGCCAGTTACTGTATGTAAAATGGTAATACTTGCTCTGGAAAATACTTAAATAGAATAATTATATCTTCATCAATATAAATAAGACTCACAAACCACAAGAGTAAAACCAAGCCTGAAATAACAAAAGGAGTGCTATTAAAAACATTTAAAAGCATTTAAATGGTGAAATTTGTACTGGTTTGATATTTAAATACAAAAATTAATTCTTGGGGTTCTAAGAGATGTTAGATTGAATACTTTCAAGATCTTTCAAAACTCAACAGTGATGAAACTGATAGAAGTTAGTAATAAAAATTGGTACCAAAAAAGCTCCAAAAAATCTGATGAATGATGTTTCTTTCCCCAAAACCTACTGCATATATCTTTTCTTCCACCTGAATAATTTTGAAGCTCTAATGAAGAATTAAATAAGTAATGAAGACTTAGATAGCTGTTTCAGAGCTACGCCAGGAGAGCATTACTTATCTAGGATGTTACTAGCATTAAAAGGGAATATTTTGAGTTAATCTGCTTAAATCTACTTCCTGATGGATAGGAAGACAAGATAAAAGTTGAAACTTTCATGTGTATGAGGTATGAGCAGGAGCCGGTTAAAAATTGAAGTGTCTCTTGGTAGTTTTTCTTCAGGTTCAAGGTAATGATAATAATAGAAATATTTTACAGTCCAGAGATTTTTCAAAGTGGAAATTATATGTTTTCTTGAACACAAAGTTCCATGTGCAAGTTCCTGTGGAAATGCATCTGCAGTTGCAGTGAGATTGAGTACTGGGGATGTCAGTTCAGGAAGCTTTCCAAGATATCTGACAGCCTGAAGTTTGCCTGAGCTACTGGAGTTGTGATCTGGTACTGGCAGAGCTCCACGTGAGAAAAACCTTCTCTTGTCTGCCTTTGACCAAATACAGAGCTGCTGTAGCTGTTATTAAATACAGAATGATGAAAAAGGCAGAGATGATCCAGTTTGTGTAATTGCACCCTCTCTAGGTGAGGGAATAGGTATTACTTGTTGCCAAAATGCAGCCCTTGACAGAGCAGTTCTGGTGATGCAGTGTCAGTGTTTGCTCTGTCAGTAAATCTGTCAAGCAGGCAGCCATTACTTGAAATGTGTAACAGTTTGTCATGGTGGCTTTCCAAATCCTTTCATTAAAGTGCAATTATTCCTTTTCCACTGTGCAGTTTGAGTCAAGCCAGACAAGTGGTGGCTAGAATAGACCAGTGGAGATGTAAATACAGACTTCTGGGTATTTTGCAAAGCAGTACACTGCAGTCATGCTGCTGAAGGAACAGAGGGTTGTTGTAGCTGACATTTTGTAATACAAGCAAAACTGTTACTGTGTTCTCATCCATCTTACCTTGCAGAATATAAAAAAATATGCAGTTTGAAGCCTTTTTACTTACATATGTTATTTCTTTAAGTGAAGCCCCTGTTCTTCTGGATTCATGTTAAAAATTGCTGGAATTAATTTCAAACACTTCACTACCTAGATTCAGTTGCACGATACGATGTATCTCATTATTGTATTTCCAGAATTTTGTTTTTCTTACCTCAATTTAGGCAACTAGATCTGGGCTTGTAAGGGCTAGTTTAGTGCATTTACTGAGCAGTAGAAGTCCAAATGGTACATTAGTCTTTTGTTTTACATTTCTGTAATGAAAATAGTTGCTGTTTCCTAGCACCACAAGACAGAGAAGACAGAATAGGAAGGGCAAGATATGCTGAAGGAACATAATCTTCTTTACTCTGATACTCAGAAGTTGCAGAACCATTCTACTCAAAGCTTTCTAAAAATATCCAGCCTGAGGCAGACATCTAGAATCAGAAATTTCAGCCTGAAATTTTGAGTTCCAGTTGGGCAGACCATAAGCACATGGCAAACAGATATTGAAAACAGGAAGCACATGGCAGTCTTTAAAAGGCCAGCAATGCCCCCAGCTCTATCTGTAATGAAATCCATCTTCCAAGCCATGCAGCTTTCTTGCAGATGAAATCATGCCTTTCTGGGGCAGACCAGTGGTACAACAGCTACATTTTCTCTTTCTACACTGAAAAATGTATAATGGCATTAAGAAGCAGATTAAATACAGAGTAACCTTCCAATCATTACTTTCCAGCTTCCAGCAGTTAATAATAAAGGACTTGTAAAATCAGTTAAGGATTTCTATGTTCTCCTTTGTTTCTTAAAATTCCTTTGACCTCCAGCATCCTGGAACAGTGATTTATGTGACTGATTTGTGTTATGTTAATTATCTGTGGCTTTCAAATTGCCATCTGACCAAGTGCATGTCATACCCCCATGTTCCTGTGTTATGAGAAGAAGTTAACTACTCATGCCTTACCCTGCCATGGCTGTGGAGAGCCCTGTCATGCTCCACTTTGTCACCTTCCCTAAGCAGAAAATGATGATCCATGTCCCTCACAGTTTGCTGTTCCTGCCACCTTCGGGCCATTTGATTAAATTCTTATTGAGAAATGTTCTAAGTATTGAGAATGTGAGCATGATACATAGAGTGGAATATTAATGCTTTGCTCATTCTTCATGTCATTTTCTGTTTTCTGTTGTGCATTGAACTGATTTTCTTCAGGAGAAATGGAATCAAAGCTGTGGAAGGTTTCACAGTCAGTACTTATAAAAGGGGACTTGAGTAGTCATATTTGATCAGATCCTATGCACTGCTCAGGGTGAAGATTCATTTCTTCTCCACAAAAAACAAACAAACAAAACCCACATATTTTTAGGATATGTTGAAATGCAGTCTCTTGGTCCATTTCTGTTACAGTGATGTGGCAGGCAGCATAGATGACTCCAGATTGCAAGAGAGTTAAAGTTCTGTTCAGTCCAGTTTGTTTTGAGCTCTTCCCTGGAAGATCATATGGTTGTGTCTCTTAAGACAAGACAGACTAAGTTTGTTTTTGTTTTTTTTTTTTTTAATTGAGAGACTAAAAGATAGACTGCAGCAAGAATGACATCTGTGTGTCATTAGTGTAGAGACTGTAGCCTGAGTGTCATGACTAAATGTCCAGAGACAAGATGCAGTAGAAGTTAAGAGAAATAACTACTGAGCCTTAAGGAAATCTGTAAGAAGTTAGACAGGGTATGAGGAAAATATTCTGAAATACATGCAGATGGCGTGACAGAGAAACAGAACCGAGTCTCAGAATGCTGGAGAAGAAAACAGACACTTCTGAAACTGTCAACTATCAAGTTACTGGCTCTTAGAAAGCAGCTGCTTCTCAGCAGGGTGTTCCTGCTCCTCGAGCCCTGTTCATGTGCAGTGCCAGGAGTCAAAACTGGACTGGTGAGGAGAAGGCATTACTTAAGGATGAGTTACTGTCAGAAAAGAAAGAGGCAGTACAGGACGGGAGAGCAGGACTGACTGCAGTGCTGTACCAGGGAAGAGGAGGAGAAAAAAGGCTGAGAGCAGCCCAAATAGGAGAGGGGAAAATCAATGGAAAATGTTGGGAGAGGGAGTGAAGTGGAAGATGGCAACCAGTGACAAATGTAGCTCTGAGAGCTGACAATGGCACTTCTCTCTGAGCTAGTTTGACAGGCAGTGGGTGTTTTAAAGCATGATTATTTCTTGCTGGCACTCCTCTCTTGAAGTTTGTGTACACACATACACAATTACAAAAATGATCTGTCTTTAAATGTATAAATTACCTGCTTGGGCTTCTCAAAACTTATTGCAATTGAGAAAAGAAAAATGGGTTTTGTTGTATCAGTCCTCAGGCTAAACTGCCACTGATTTTAACAAAGAAGCAGGATTTGGTATGATGTGTTATGTTCAGAACTTCCCAGGTTACAGTATTTCAAGGCAGACAAACAGTCTTGAGTAAAAACATGTGAAAGAGGAAACTAGGAGCATGCCTACTTAGTCCAAATATATCTTCAGTCACATTGATACACAATAAGGTCTCATCCAAGAACATAAATTATTTCTTCTCCTTGGAAGATTTTTATGCTCAGTCAGATATAGGTGTTTCTCACACCTCCTCCTTTCATACTTTGGATAATGTGTTCATTCATAAAAAAATTTAAAAATCACTTTCATCACTGCTGAGACAACTAACAAACATAATTTTTGTAAGTCAGGGCTTGAAGAAGTAGGTCTATACAGCAAATTTTGAAACATGTTTCCACGTCAAGTTTGGATTATATGTTGTTTATGTGTCAGGAAATACTCATTTATTCTAAAACTTCTGGCTTTAAACTTATTTGGGAAATAAGAGACAGTAACCATCATACAATTTTTTTGCAAAATCAGCTTGATCATCTAAACTTTAAAGGTTTTCTTTAAGAGAGGATGCTGTGTTTGTGTTCTGATCCTTTTTCTTCTGAAGACATAGCAGAATAAGGGAGCTAAGCACTTTTTAGACTACTTGGTAGTTGTGTAAATTGTTAAATAAAGCAACAAAACTCTTATTTTCTGATTTTACAGTTAAAAAAAGGAAAGTTAACATACTGAAAATGAAAGAATTGCTACCATTGCAATTTAACAGACTTTTGCAGTCCAGTGTAAATTTAAATGGATTTCCCTGTGCAGATGTGTCAGTGCACTCAAAATGGCAAAGAAATGCTCAAGAAAGAACCTTCAGGATATGTACTTAGGAAACTGCTGACATTTTGAAAGAAGTCAAATACTGTGTTGGTTTCAAAGGCACAGTAATGGGTTTTTGTGCTCAGACAAAGCCAGAGCAGTAAGTATATTTTTCCATTCTCAAAACCATAAGAATTAAGTATGAAAACATAGCAAACCACATGCTTACTCACATGGTTCACAGACCATGTAATAGCTGGCTTTGTCCTTTGTAATAGATGGTTATGTAATGCTGAATGTATGATTGGTTTTCTTGAAACAGCAGGAATTTTGTTTGCTTACATCTTCTTCAACAAAGCTGAGGCTGAGAAAACCTAACCTCTTTAAGGGCTCAAACTCCATCTGTTTCATCTGATACTGGAAAGTAATTGTAAGTACAGCCTCACTCTCACAGTAATTAATTACCTTAATAGGTTAAACTGACATTTGAGACCTCAGTATTCGAGCCTGAAGGGACTTTTGAGCAAAGGAACAAACAGACACAGTCAAGTATGAACAACCTGGTTCGGCTCCTGTGGGGAGAGGACACTTTGGACCTTCAGCAGGATGTGCCTCACATTGTCATGTTCCTCACACTGAAACTGGACTCTGAGACATCCAAGGATGAGGTATGTGCCTGACTCAATCAGCCTGAGCTCAAAGGTAACTACTGACCACAGCAGCTGCTAGGACATTTGATGTAAAAGGATAAATTAAAAATCCTCCTAATGGTTTGGAGTTGGGAATTATCCATAAAATACCCATTTTAGTAGAAATAAGGTGAAATTCCAGGAGGGAAGAACCGGCATCACTGCTGACAAACTTCTGACTGGCCTTAAACTCAGCTGAGAGCAGGTGAGGAGCAGCCAGGTGATGACTCCATAACCAAGGTGCATTCCCCAGTGCCAAGCTGTCTCTGGGATGCTGACTGGAGGTTTTTAATGCCAGGATCTGCCTAGTCAAAAAAATATCCCTCTGCAGGAGCTATTGGCAGTCCACATCCATAATCTGTCTGGCTCCTCATGTTTTGAAATGCTAATGTGCCTTTTCTTAGAGGTCTCTGGCATGTCTGCTGTTAGCAGTCAGCTGCTGATTCTTGCTTGGGCAGCGTTTTTAGAGCACAGAAGTACTTTTCCTTTGTCCTCTAAAGCTTCCTTTCACTCTCTTCCTTGTTGTGTTCTTCGGGAAAATGTTGCCAGTGTGCATGTAAGTTTGTGCAGTTGTTCAGGATGTAGCCATAGCTACAAATACTCCTCTCCACGCAGGGACACAGAGCTGAGCTTGGCCTCTTGCCCAGTCTGGAAATGACAAGTGGACAAAGTGGACTTCTTAGGAACAGACATTTGGGAAAAGACTCTTCTGCCTTTGTGTGAATTCTCAAATTGAGCATTCTGTCCCCGTGATCTTATATTATCAGTGCTGAGGAGAATCACACAAAGCACAGTTTTTTCCAGTCCCCAGGGACTAAGGTGGCAGGACAGTGATGGAGTGGGAAGCAGAAAGAAAACATTTTGCTTTCTCTCCCTTGGAATTTATCCTTAGATTGAGATGCCTTTACTTTTTTTTTTAATGCTATTTTTCAACTTCAAGTCTACATTCTGTTGGTGATGGGTAATAGAGAAGTGTTACAGCTACACAAAATAGGGTTTAATTTTATTTTCTAGAGACAGGGCTGGGAAGGAGAACCCTAGAAAATTATATGATACCATAATATGTACTAGTCCAAGACCAGTGGTTTCTTGACCACATACACCTCGTGAAATATTAAAAAAAATTAATTTCAGGGCCTCTGGCTCCTCTCTTACACATGTAAATGCCTGATTGCATTTCTGCACTTCACAGTAAATTGAGTACTGGTTTCTTACTCCATTGTTCCTTTACATTCTCCCAAGAAACTGATTAATCCTGAACACTGAGCAGAGGTAAAAGAGGGATTGTAATGCCCTTGTTGTCCTTTCACAACATGGAATAATTGTTTCCTGAGAAGTCTTGGCAATTATGTAGCCCCAAATATGCTGAGAGATGCTTTGCTGATATAATGAAGCTCTTTATAATGTTTTCCTTGCAAAACAATGCCTCCTTCTTTGAGGAATTTGCATTTAATTTCATTTTCTGTACTTCAGGCAAGTTCTGTCCTGTAGATGTCCTGTTCCAGATTTAGTTTAAACAGTATTTTAAATGAAGCTATGGTACACTAAAGCCATCCTGCCCAATAGAAATATAATGATCCTTTAAGAAGCTGCTTTGCCCATATCCAGGGGAGGCACAGTATGCAGATCACATCCATGTAAATTGTGGCAACTGGAACTTGTAAATAAGTATTCCACTTGTGAGCTTTTGGCACCTAAAATAGAATTAATGAGCTTTAAGACTTGTAAGCTCTGTCTGCTCAGCTATACAGGGAAGTAGTATTGGGAATCATTTGGGATGTGTGTATGCCTGTGGGGGGTGTCCCTATGGTAACAGTTTCTCAGTGAGTAAGGTCAATTCTGCCTTTTTTATATTTTAGTTTAAGGTGGGTATTACAATTATAGATTATTTGTAGCAGTGTGCAACACTCACATCTTCGTCTTTGACCTGATTTTGGCAATAGCATGTCTTAAAAGGAATAATATTCATGTTCCTTCTGCTGTTACTGGAAGACTCTGTCCAGGTTTGGGGGTTGGGTTGAGGGAGGATTTACATGTGAAGAAATGAGCTGCTTGTGTTTATTAATTCCATTGTCATTGGCCTGTGACTTTTGGGCTTGCTTTGGAGACAGCTGATCTGGTGGCATGTGCTGGCCCTTGCTAAATCACTATATCCATACATGATAACAGTTCTGCCTGTTTGTTACAGTTGGCTTTTCTTTCTCTGGGAATGTGTTCAGATCATTCTCAAACAAATTTTGTGTAAAGGCCCCAGTTCATAGTGAGGAGGGGGGAAAAAGGCTCTTCCTAGCCCTTTGCAGTGCTGCAGTTAGAAAACAGCAGGTTTCTCCAGTTGAGGGATTGATTGCAGAAAAAAAAAAAAAAAGATCCTTGTCACTAATGAGTATTTATAAATAGAGTTAATTAAATTGGATATAAATGAAGAGTTTGTCAGGTCCTTCTGTAATGAAATTTTGCATTCTTTTAGTCTTGATGAAGGAAAATTTTCTAATGGGTGTTGGCACTGGCTAAATGTGATTAGTGACATAAATTGGGAAGTTAATCATGCCTGTGTTTCATTTGTTTGTGTAGAAAGATAATTTACTATAATCTTTGCAGTGGAGAAGATGCAAAAAAAAAAAACAATGGCCCATCATGATTTGGCAGAAAGCAATAAATGAGAAGGAATCATGTTTGCTTATTACTATATTTTTATAGTTGCTGAAATAATACAAAATTTTTGAAAGTGCTTGACTAAAATAATGATTTTTTAATGGTTAGAAAGAGAAAGCTATCTCACAAATATTTATCTCTATAGAGCTTTAGTTTTAAATTATTGTGTAAGTGTATCTGCTCAGATGTTTAATGAGAAATCTTAATGGTGTATTTTAAAATTTGAGCATATTCATCAGTTATGTTTTATGCTATCCATGTAAAGCAGCCAGGTAGGGTTATACAGAGAGACTTGAGTTTTCATATTCTATGTTAATTTTCAAGAGCTGTATGTCTGATGATGGTTTAAGTCAGAATTTAAACATTGAAAGAACTGTACCAATACTTGCATCAGAGAGTGACAGAATTGTTTGGTTGGAAGGGATGTTAAAGATCATCCAGTTCCAGCCCTACAGCCATGGGCAGGGACACCTTCCACTGGACCAGACTTTTCCAAGCCCCATCCAACCTGGCCTTGGACACTTCCAGGGATGAGGCATCCCCAGCTTCTCTGGGCAAGCTGTGCCAGTGCCTCAGCACCCTCTTCCTCTCTCTCTCTTGGCATCAGGTGTGTTAAAAGTGTACTTAAAGCTGTAAGATGCAGTGGCCACACTGTTTTTCATTTTACGTTTCTCCATATAATAATTAACCTAAATAAGTCATGCTTTTCTATAAAATACAGAATTTAAAACTGTACAAAAACTGTAGAAACATTCATATGCCGTTTAGAACTTTCCAGTATGCCCATGCAGCACACTACTTGTTTCAATGTCATATGAAAGGATATGATAAAAGATTTCATGTTTAAAAATAACCCCAACTGTTAGCACAAAAAAAAAAAAAAAAATCATTATCATGTTTTCGTGGGGATTTTTTTGGAGGGGTTTTGGTTTTGGTTTACTTAACTAACAGCTGACTTTCTTCACAGCAAGAAATTATTTATCAGTACCCCATATCTGAAGCATCCCAAAAACTGAAAAGTGTGAGAGGGATATTTCTCACACTGTCTGACATACTGGAAAGTGTTACTGGTACCGAGATTATCAGGTAAAAGTGTTTGAAATGTAATTACTGCTTTTATTGTTTTATACATACATGTACAGCAAACATGGCTCATGCATCAAGTTCTAGACAAACCAGAGCAACTCAACCTGTTTAGGCAGTAACTCTTTAACTACAACAGCATGCCTGAAGCTGGAGTGCTCAGCCTGGATGTAAATTGATTTGGGGGAGTTTTGTTGTAGTGGGTAGCAGTGACTAGGATTTTTAGTTCAGTGAAATGATTTTCAACTCCTTTATAACTTCATAGTGTTAACAGAAATACTTCTGGTTTCATTTTTCTAGTTCTTCCCTTTTCTTATGTGAAAAACTGGTCCAAGTTGTTTACTGGAAAGAATCTGACAAGTTGCTCGTAATTGGCCTTCCTGAAGAAAAGTGAGTTTCAAGGAAAAGTTTTGTTTTCCTTTAAATTTTATGTCCTCAAATTTATTTTGTGCACTCTTCTAACAAAAAAAGGCAAGAAAGGGCTAAAAATGTACTCTTTTTACTGTAACTAGTTTTTATGTCTGAGATTTCACTATTTTGATTGACTTTATTCACATCTTTTGTATATCCGTTGTTGTAATTTCTTTTTCATTTCCTCTGAAGAGAATAAGATCCCAGAAATATCTGTAAGTTAGAAAAGAGTAATACCCTAAGATTTGGTAAACTCAAGTTTTTGCAGAGACTGCTGAATAATATCAGTAATATTACATATTTACACATTCTAGGAGGGCTGCTTATTCATCATAAAGATGTTATAATCATAGCTGTACATTTTAATTTTTATTTGTTAGTGTGCCACTTTCTCAGCTGAGGAACATGATTCAGAATGTTGTCAGGACCTTGACATTCATGTACAGTTCCTTGGACAGGTGAGTTCTTTCAGAAGTATTTTCTTTTCAGTCACTCATTTTTCATTGGTGCTCACTGAAAAAGACAAGTATTAGGATTAATTTTAATGTTTCCAGGGAATTTCTTGGCATGTTCCTTTACGCTTGTATAAAAACAGGAATTCTGTTGGTCTTGCCTTTTGGTTTCAGTCTTAACACTGGTAAGACACTGTTTAAGCAGGCTTTGTCAGAAAGTTTTGTCTTTGATCAGGTTAAATCATTCCCATAATCCAGGTCACTGTGGACATCAGCAGCACTCTGCAAATGTTACCCTCTGTGTCTGTGAAACATACACGGGTTACATTTTTAACAGAGTAAACACTCGGGACTTCTCCAGAGTGAGTGTCTGGAGTGCTGAACTCCATTTGGCAGAGTGAGTGTCTTCCTCTGCGTTTGGAAGTCACCCAGGAGACTTTCAGTCTGACTGTTACCTAAATAAAATTACCCAGGTGATTACTCATATTCTTGCATTTAATTCAGGCTTAATGTGTGTATGCCATAGGGAACAAAAAAGAACAAATCTCAGTTTCCAAAAGGATGAGACTGATGTTTCACTCACCTTAAGCTGCTCTATGGTAACACCATACTGGTTTAATTTGTTCTTTGTAGGTACTGCCTGGATATCAGCCTAGTGGTTTTTTTCATGTTAAAAAACCATTTTTTTCATGTTAAAAAAACACCCAAATGTAGCATCATGCTGTAAAGAGGCTTGTGTATCACTGAGGGTTATATAAACAAGCTGCACATTTCTCAGTGTTATTCTAACTTGGAGTTCATGTTTGTCCAGTGCTTTTTGCCAGGTGGAAAATGTTTCTCGCCTGGATCATTTTTTCAACCTGTTCTTCCAACGTGCCCTTCATCCTGCAAGGCTCCAGCCTGGCACCAGCCCCAGTGCCCAGCACCAGGATCCCTGCAGTGCCCTGTTCCCAGGCAGCCTCCCCGGCCTGCGCTGGCTGACGCTGCCCCACGAAGTCAAGGTCAGGTCCTTTTCACATCTCTCCAGGAAAAGCTGGCCATGACAGGCAAAAAAGTCAGTGCAGGTGTCTTCTGCTCTTCCTGTCTGATTTACCTAAGTGCTCTGCCCATCCCAGATGGTCCATTTTCCTATAAAATTCAAGTTTGGATCTTGAATTTTACCACCATCAACACCACCACCATTCCCACAGGACTGCTATAATGAGTATAGCTTGGTGACTTTAGAGTTATCTAGGAAGAATAGAGAAAGCAGCCCCTGGTATATAGCTATATATTTGATTTTAACCATTGAAGTATTTTGGCAGGCAAGAAATATTACTCTAGAAGCCCATGTAGTTCTCATAACTTAGGAGAGTTATAAATGGCTGTTGCAGAATCAAAATAAATACCCACATGTCATTTGTTGATGCCAGACAGGTACAGTTTTTCTGCACCATTTCACTGTGCCACATTACCTCCATGTTAGAAACTGTTATGCTTTACGCAGTAATAAGACAGAAGGTGGATCACAGCAAATAACATTTAATTATAGCATTAGTAATGTTTTAGCTGCCAGTTGTAAACATCACTTTCATTACTTTAGTATCTGTGACTCCAGTTTAAAATATGTTAGTCTGTGCCATTGTTTCCAAATAGATTTCTCTTTGCAAGTGTGGCTTTCTCCATTTTCTCCTTTAAAGGAGAAATTTCTTCTCCTTTATCTTTAGTCACAGAGTGACCATTATTTAGTTCTTTCCACCTTGCACTGTAGGTTTTTACTGCTTTTTTTTACGATTTGTTCATCAGGGGTCTTTCCATGCTTTTTTCTTATTTCTCAAGCTTCTGTAGAGAGGCTCTGTTGTGCCTTGGTCTCCAGTTTAGTTTGCAGGCTGCTTTTGTCTTATAAAATAATAAGTTTTAAAAGGACTTAGGAAATATTATCATTGATACTTATAATACAGACACTACTTTCCAGAGTTCTTTGAGATCATTCCCATTTGCCAAAAAATGTTGTGGTTGAAGAAGATGACATTTCCAGTCACTGTTTTGGTGAAGAGCTGTTTTATTCTATAAGGAATGTAAAACTAAAAATGTCACTTTCAGGAAGAAAGCCATTTAAATTTTGACTGGGAAAAGCTGAGAGGATGATTAGTTGCTGAGTGCCAACAGGCTTGCTGACATTTCTCTGTTTGAAAACTGGCTGTATTTCAATTGGAGGCAGCCTGTTAACACAGCTCAAGAAGTTTGCAACCATGTGATTTAGGTTCTTTTCATTAAGTAGCACGTTTATGTCATGAGTTTCAGTGCTAGGACCAAGAAAAGTACTCATAGTTAAACTCGATTTAACCAACAGCTCTTGTAGTTACAGAAATAAGGGAGCTTAAAGTAGTTCCAATAGAACAAAAATACATGAGAGAGTTTTGGTGACTTCATAGAGACAAAAATCTTAAATCTATTGGATAAAAGATTTTCCTGAAAACTCAGTTGGATGCAGTAGTGTGCCAGGTTTGTCTCCAGACCTCATGTTTTAAAGCACACTGAAAGTAAGAGTGACATCTCCTTTGTACCAACACTGGGCTCAGCAGGCACACAAGCAGAGAAATTGTACAGTTCAAAGAGCAGGGAAATAGCCAGCAATTAGAAAGGATTTTTCTTAATTCTGGTATCTCCAGGTGTTCTTGATATTTGATGTTACTAACAAAAAATAGGTGCAGATTTTTATCCAGTCACTTTGTACCTGTGAATCCCCATCTGAAACAAGCAAGACAGTGCAAGATGTGCTATAACTGAAAATTAATATGTTGGAAATCTTTATTTAAAAAGTATTTTTTTAACTATTTCAGATGGAAATTGACACAGCACTGAGTGATCTGGAAGCAGCTGACTTTGCAGAGCTGGTAAACATTTTGGTTTTGTTTGCTTTGCACAGTATCTTCTTGCCTTGGTGTCACATTCTATGGTTGAAACAAAGACTATTTTCAAAATCCATCAACTTCTTTTAATGAAGTGGGAGTCAAAGCAGTTTATCCTGAATTTCTCTGTGTGCTTAATATTATAACATATTAGAATCCTATATGATTGGTCACTGAAAATCCATGATTTAATATAATTTAAATCCGTGGGATGTCTACAAAAACACTGATTTCAACAGAGGTGATTATTGTTGTTACATTTCTTCTTTTGTGTAAATATCTGTCTCCTTCCTAAGCAATTGTGAACAGAATTAGAAACATCTATGCATCAGAATTTAATTTTCCAGTTTACAGAAGGCAATTACAAATTCCGCTTAGTTTTAATACTGTTATAGAAGGAAATAGTAACATAATTTACTTAAGTAACTCTCAGCTGTGCAAGGTGTAAACACACTGACATTTCAGCTTTACTTTGTAATGAAAGAGCTGTCTTGAGCTCATGTTCCAGAACAGTTACTCTAAAATGCTATTCAAAAGAATCCTTGTGCTGAACAAGCTGGGTGATTACAGAAATCAGTATTTATAAGTCACAGTTTATTGCACAGAAATTGATTCCACCTACTTAACTTAAAATACAGTATACATCTATCTAAAAACAGGGCTGCTAATGGGAGAGCACTGGGCATTAAAATATGAATTAATGGGAATATTTTGAGTAAAATGTCAAAGACTGGAAAGACTTTGACTTGTAAGTTTTACTCTAGGAGGGCCCCTGGTGTCAGTAGTTATGCTAAAGCTATTTTGCTGTTAACTGTGAGAATGAACATATCCTAAAAAAAATAGTTTATGAGCACATAACAGTTAAATAGAAACTGGTTATTTTAAGCTGAAAGTTTTAGAGAAAATTTTAATGACATGAATTCAATTATGGAGGCTAAAAATTTGGTATTTCTACTGGTAATAAGAGATGGTCAGATATGAAAGTATTGAAGTATTGATTGCAGTTGATCAGAATCAGTTCACTTGCATTTGGTAAATAAAATAAAAATGCAGAATGAAAAATTACACAATGCTTTTTTCCCCCCCAACAGTCTGAAGATTATTATGACATGAGAAGATTATATGTGATCCTGGGCTCTTGTCTCTTTTACAAGGTACTATTAATGATGAAGACCTAAAGATTAGGAAAATGCATCTAGAAATCTGATTTAGTGTTTTAGAATCTCACAAATCTGAAGTGAATATATGACTGATTTAAGTATGTATTTCTAGTGACAGACCTAAAGCTCAAACACCATGACAGAAAAACTCCGTGTTAGGAAATGCTATGTACTGTATGAACAGCAAGAACAAAAATATTTCTTTAAAACTGGAATTTCTTGGTGTACAGCCCAAGGATTGGAAACAGAAAGAGTCAGTTCAAATGAAACTGCAAGATATTTTAATAGGAGCTCTTGTTCATTCCCATGTTTTAATAGCAGGTGCTCTCTCTTGAATCTGTCTTTAAATCCAAGACTTGAGAAATTGTATTGACAGCTTTTTTCACTTTGGCCTCATTCATAGTTTTGTTTCTCTTTGGTAAATGTAGACAATGTAATCAACAGTACAAAGAGGAAGGTAACAGCCTTTGCTTTAAGAAAACTTGCATTTTAAGGACTTTATCAGGCAATTGATTTTTGTGCTGGGAGTGTCATGAGAGAAGTGGAACTGCACAGTATCTACCATGACAGCACTTCAGCTGTAAAGCCCTTAGTGCTGGAACCACTGTACTATGGATCTTCTTTGGAAATTTTATTAATTCCAGTGAAAGCTCACTATTTTTGAAGAGAAAATTAAATGAGAATTCGAGCACCTTCACACTGTAGCTGTTTTGCAAGCTGGGAAAGCCCAGCTCACCTTTGATAACTTGCATATATGCTGATGGTCGATTTGCTTATATTTAGTGTTTTGATTATTTAGAAGTGGCCCAAAAGCTCAGTGTTGTACAACTGTACACCAAAAATACAGTCTGTGGCCAGAAACCTTAAGATCTCAGTGCACATGGAGCAGGGATATCTCTGTATCAAAAGTACTCTGAAGTGCTGCATGGTGGTGATGTATCCTCACTGAACACACTTCTTTTTCTGTGTTTAATTTAGGGTTACTTGATTGGTAATCACTTGCCCAAGGAAGACCTCGTTGATGTGGGTTTCTATTGCCAGCACTACTGCCTGTTAGCCCTGGCAGCAGAGCAGAGGATTGGGCAGTTAGTGATTTGGCGGGAAGTGTTCCCACAGCATCACCTCCAGCCCAGTGAGGAGTCGAGTTGCACAGGATACAGGGAACCCGAAGCAAGATACTTCTTACTGATAGTTGGCTTGGTGAGTTGATGCTGCAGCATGCCCATTCTCTGAACCTCTCTTTTGCTGTTGTGAGTTGTCTGTTCACTAGATCAACAATTTCCATGCATTTCGTTGGGTAATTTTTCAAAATGCTCAAATTGTAGCTGTTTCATGGGATAGCATTTCCCAGGGAGCAGCATTATTTATACATCCACAAAGCTTGCAAAATTTATATAAATTTTTTATATTTTATGCCTTTTCACTTCAGTTGAAAATGTTTCTATCTTCATAATCTTGTCTTTTCCGACAGCTCACATCAAAAATGTCTGAGTTTGGTTTTCTAAATGTGGACTTTTGTCACATACATATTTTCTGGAAAATGCCTTTGCTCAGGATTTTTCTCCTGGGAAGCTGAGAAGCCTCAGAGAAAAAGGAAAACAATATTATGTCATTTGCTTCTCCTGTATTTTGCTGCTTTGGAATGTGGTTGGAGATTGTTTATCCAGCATGTGGTTGTTCCATTGGTTTCTGCTGTGAATTATTTTGAGTCATTGGCCAACTGGGGCCAAGCTGTGTCAGGCTGGAGAGAGAGTCATGAGTTTTCATTATTATCTTTTTAGCCTTCTGTAAGTATCCTTTCTGTATTGTTTAGTATAGTATTGTTTAGTATTCTTTAATATAACCCAGCATCATAAAATAATAAATTAGCCTTCTGAGAACATGGAGTCAGATTCATCATTCCTTCCTGCCACGAGGGCACCCTGCAAATACAATAGACTTTCTTTCAAGCAAACAGCTGATGAGTTTGTAAGCAGTCTTTTCTGTTTGTATTTACAGAGACACTTTGTCCTGTGTGTCCTGCTGGAGGCAGGGGGCTGTGCATCCAGAGCTATTGGGAACCCAGGACCAGACTGTATCTATGTAGACCAGGTCAAAGCAACCATACTCCAGCTGGAAGGAGTAGACGCCAGCATCGAGGAAAGGCTGGATGCTCCCTCCATCCCACCTTTAGCCTGTGCTGACTGGTTCCTTCCTGCAGCGCGGGACAGACTGGAGAGCTTGAACACCTCACCAATGCTGAGCAAGCTCCAGAACTTGCAGAGTTCCTGCAAAGCTGTGAGCACTGCAGGGAGCAAGAGGAGCCTCTCTGGGGACACTTCTCGCACCCCACGGAGGCAGAGCCCCCCGAGGAGCAGCGGGGCGGCCGAGCAGGGCAGCGAGGGGCCCGCGGAGGAGGAGAGCACCAACGCACAGCCTGTGCTGGAGCAGGTCGGAGAACAAGGCAGAGTTCTGGGCGCTTGGGGAGAGGGCAGTTCACTCCAACTCAAGGTGACTTTTATAAAAAGCACATTATAAAAGAGTAAGTCCCTTGAATTCAGTATAAAATAGTTCTGTTGCCTTGGGAAGCTCTGAGTCAGCCTCAGAGCCATCACGCTGTTTTTTTATTTTTTTTTATTTTATCATTCACACTTTTTTATTTTATCATTGCTTGTAAATATTTGGGGATTTCACATGACTGAAGTGGGCACAGCTGTGTCGAAAAAAGCAGATTTAATTGGAGAATATCCCTAAAAACCTATCACAACTAATTGCTGTACGGTTGTACAACTACTAACAAATTTTAGTCTAAAATAGGCTATAAAATACATTGATATAAATTGATATGTGTGCCTTATTAAAAATGCTAAATTGTCACCTTCTTTCTGTTGGTTTAGCTGGATTCTGTTCTTTCTTTAGCTGTGTGTTCTCTGTTACTTCATCTATCCACTTGTTCTTCAGGCCACTAGGAAAAAACACACCCTGCCAAACCCATTTCATTCAGGAAACCTGAAAAAGAACTCTTCAGAGAAAGATACAGAACTTCCTTATGCTATGAAGTAAGAAATTTTTTTTTTTGTGTATTTCATTCTTTAGGCCATCTTTGGATTGTTTTTTAAATATACACAAAAGTCCCCTCATGATTTTATCCCAACCAAAGCTTTGCTATGCAAAGATTATCAGAAGAGAATGTGTTAAACTGAGAGCTTAATTAAACATAAAAATTTGAAATAATACAATAGAAGACATCTGATTCTGAATAATATATTAGTATTGTGCACACCTGTCCCACGTCTGTGTGACCTTAGAATTTCAAGTAGAAGTTTCTGGACCACACATGTAGTTACCTTGTGCCTCCATCTCCAGGTAGGTGTACAATGAACAAAGCTTTTATTTCACTTTCCTTTTTTGTGACCAATTTTTGAGAACACAAGTGCAATGCCTAACTAGCAGAACAGTTTCTTAATTTGTTGTTTTTTTAAATTGAGTATTACAGTCTAAATCAGCAGGATTTCCTTGGTGTGGAGATAGGAACCTTTTGAATGCCTGTATCCATTTTGTACCCTACTGTAATTAGAAAAACAATTCTACCTTGAGAAAGAAAAGCTGCAAATTATTTAAATTATTTTAATTCAATGATATTAAATTAAATTATTTTAATTTAAGGTTGACATCTGGTCCTGAGAACACTCTCTTCCACTATCTGTTTTTGGAGACAATGCAAGGAATCTTTATTACTCCAACTCACAAAGAAGTAGCCCAGCTCGGTGGCTCCATCCACCCTCACTTAATTGAGAATTTCTACCAGTGCTGCCTTTCAATCCATTCCATTTTCCAGCAGTCCATGAGGAAAGAGGTATGGAAATTTGGCTTTCTCTTTATCCAATCACATTCTCAATTCAGTATTTCAAGGTTCTTTTCACTTCATTATTTCAGTGGTTCCAGAGCAGCTGTATTTGCATGTCTGCACACTCTAAACCCCAGTGGAACATTGTCACTTGTGTTTTTTAGATCCTACAGTGACAATTCAAGTGAGTTAAGTGAGAAAAGGAGAAATAATAGTACAGATTAAATGAAGGCAAGTTTGCAAATAACAGTATAGTTTTTCTTAATATTTCTTTTATGTTACTGAAGAAATCATTTCTGGCTAGACCCATGTGCCTTGTAAATCTAGGAATTTTTAAGTGTTAAAAATAGCGATAATTTGGTGGATTGGTCACATGACATAGGTTTGGCTGAGTAAGACTTTGGCAATGAGCAATGTATTTTGGCCATTTCTGTTGAGAAATGTAGAAACCCAAAAGCAAGCAGAGAGAATAAATTAGTATGTCTTAGCATCAAATTGCCTTTGGCTACAGCCATTAAATAGACATTTTATAGTTCAAGCCATAAAAACTGAGAATAAGAAATAACTGATGGAGACATCTCTTAGAGCAAAATTTGCTGTAGTCTTTTGCAGATTGGCTCCAGCAATTAATGCTGAAATTGGCAGGCTGTATTATGGCACAAGGAGAATGTTAAAGAAGAAATAGAAATTTGCCTTGTTCATAGTACATGATAAAAAAATCAAATACAGAAATGTACTATTATACTGTGTATTCTTTGTCATCTGACAAATGTTGTTACGGTTTAGGATCCAGAGAGCTGCACCAGTAATGCAAAGTTACTGTAGACTGACCAATAATTAATTTTTCCTCAGTTTTTGAGAACTGAAAATTCACAATTTAACTTCTAAAATGTGTACAGGAGTCTTGAATAAATCTTAAATTTAGCAAAACTAAGATGAGTGGTCTTAAACCCAAAAATAGGATGTTTTGATCATGTTTTCTAGATCTTCAGTCCCTACATCTTCAATATTGTAGGCAGATTGAACAATGTGGTTTCTGCATCTGCATATGGCAGACAGAAGTTCCTTGACTTGTTTTCTACAAATCCCTTTCCTTTCACCTTTGAAGCAACTGTTTCACTGGCAGATCCAGAGATGAACTTTTGCAGGGTTTATTCAAAAGCTCTGCTCAAAACACAGCTCTAAAAGCTCAAGAAAACACAAAAACGTGTTCCATGCTTTTATGCCCTCATACTGAGTAAGAGTCAGAAAATGCTCTGGGCAAAGTGCTTCAGCTGTTTATTTACAAAAAGAAATTCCTGCCTGGCCAAGTTTATTTAATAGACTTTTACTATCATGGTTCTTAATTAGGGAGGCACACAGAAAAGAAAGATGAGAGCTTTAGCTGTTGTAATGCACTTTTTTAAAGTGCTGTAGTAATTCAGATGTCTTTTTAGAAAAACTGTGTTTAGCTAGAAAGAAAAAGTCAAAAAAGGGAGCATGTGTCTAATTCCAACTTGTGTAACAATGGAAAAGCCTTTTGATGCCAAAGTAACAAAACTGTGGAGAAAAGAATCATGTAAGCAAGTCAGTTATATCATCTAAGCCTGGCTTTTTCACAGCAGAGTCATCCATCAGAGAGTCCTGAACAAATCACATGGTTGTATTTGCTCGTGTTTATGTCAGAATGTCTCATTCTCTACTAACATTTCACCAGCTGTTTTACAGAAAAAGAAGAAGGCAGGCAGTGGGATTTCAGAATTCAGCAAGGCAGGTGAGGACCCAGGTCTGGTAAGAGAACATGGACTTCTGTTTGAGTGCTCTCCTGAAAACTGGACTGACCAGAAGAAACCACCACCAACTATGAACTACTGGGTTGTGGGGTAGGTTTAAAGACAAAATTCACCTCCAGTTTTTCATTCTGACTGTGCCATTGTGTTCTTTAAAAATAAGTGTAACTGTAGCACATCAGAGAAATACTTGAGCTGACTGACTGAGGTAGCTCTAATTTAAGGGGACTGGGAAGTTGCAGTGATGTGAATTTCCATCTTTAATAGCTGTTGAGTCAATGACATAAACAAGGTGACAGCTATAATTACTGTTACAATATAAAAGAGGCTGTTTCATTGGGAAGAAAAATGTTTACAGAGAAGGAAGAAAAATAATTGTTTCCCAGCATGAATGTGCATAACTGCTGTTTGTGTGGAAAAATTTAAATATTTTAATTATAACATTGAAAAAATGTTTATACTACTGTTTAAACCTTTAAAAAATAATTATGATGCACAGGTATTAACAGCTTCTCTATTTTAGCTCTTGCCCTAGAAGAGCTCATTGGATTAATATGTGGAAATGTAACTACCCAGATGTTATTACCTTCAAAAATTAGTAAATATGTGAATCCTGGGGCTTGCTCCCAAGGATCTTGATTGGAGCTTATGGCCCACAGGCTTGGATTGCTGCAAACAGACCAGTAACAGAGAAGATCCTGAAAACCTGAAGATTTTTCTTCCTTACACAGCCTTAAAAAAACTGAGTAGAGAATAACTTGATTTAAAAATCTGATGTATTGAAAGAAGTAAAGTAATGCAGGACAGACACCAAAATTTGCCAACTGTCTTACACAGCAGCTTGTTTTAACTTTCAATTGAAACCCTGCAGTACAACCAGAATCTACCATTTGAGGAGAAAAAAAAATAATACCTGTGATGATTTTCTTCTTTTTCTTCTTTCTTTTTTTTCCCCAGGAGACTCATTCTCCACCCCAAACCTCAGGAGTGTTATGTGTGTTTCCATGACTCGGTGACAGAAGCTGCTGTGGAGCTGGCCTTTAAACTGTCCTTTGGCTTAGCTGCATAGATGAGCTTCCTGCACACTCAGACATCCTGCATGGTGTTCATTCTTTAAAATATCCCATATAAAGGGAAATTAACTCAATTTGGGTGCCACCCATGGGGCATCTTTGAAATGCTTAAAAAAAATCAAATACCTTGTGATATGACGCAGTTAAAATTTCAGTGGTGCTTCTGATGAGTTCATCTATTGTATACTTAATTTCAGAGAACCAAAGTTCTTATTTTTATATACTGTCACTTTTTTTTTTAATCCTGGTCATAACTTTATTATATGAAAACACCACATCATTTGTATGTTCACTGCTATTCAGTGTACAATATGCAACATAAAATGGTAAGCTGATCCTCAAAGAACTCTATGAACATGGAAATTGGTGATGGAGGGAAAAAAAAGTTCTCCAGTCACTTAAAATTTTGCACCTCTGAGAGCCTGAAAAATACTGAATGTTTTCAGTAGCATTGTGTTAATCAAAACAGAGAAAAATCTTTCAGACAATTCCTGGCACTTAGCCTCACAAAACTAATGGTTTACCATTTTTGCTCTCCTGCACACTCGAGGACTATAGTGTGGTTGATGTTTTACTTGACTCCGTGAGTTTTAACTATAAATAATACTTATATTTGTTAAAATGCAATTTTGAAGACACAAAGAAAGAAGGGGGGTGGGCAGGGTGGTTTTAAGATGTGCATGGACTTGGCTTATTTTATATTCATAATTTCATAATAAAAACTTATATTTGTTAAAGAACAGTAAAGCATTAATTTTTTATCCTTTTTTCACTTCATGTATTTTTCTCTTTTGTTTTATTATTTCCTTCTACTTGTTTTTTATGAGTGCTTTTCATAAAATGCATAACTAGAATTCCATTTTAAACAACGGGATCAAAAAGTTTTAAGTGTTCAGGAAAGCAAATTCAATTTCATGGGTTCTCATGGCCAGATCTTTAGATCTTGTTTTCACTAGTAAATGACACAGTTTGGGGTAGTCCTAAAACAGTCAATCAAATGCTTGCAGGGCTCACAGGGTGATTCACAGCTTGTCTTCATCACTCAACAGTTGTTTTAATTCAAGCAGCAGAAGTCTTGGGCCTGAAGTGCAAGCTGTGATGGAAGACTTTGCTAATCAGCTTTCTCCAGGATTTATGGTTCCTAGCAGATGAGCAGCAGTATTTCAGTCTGAGGCCTACAAATCAAAGCAGCAGTGTGTTAGCTCTGTTCCCCGTATATAAATCATGTGATGGGAGAGTTACTCTGCTACACCTCTCAAAGTCTAAAATACCTGACGTTTGGGTATTAGATTTTGTGGTGGATGGAAGAAGGAACGTGGAGGAAAGCAAGCAGTCCTTGCTGCAGTGCTTTTAGCTGTTTGGCTTCCTGTCCAGGAGAACCCTTTATTTAATTCAGAAGTATAATGTAATTCTAAAAGTGCCACCGAGTTTCTGATACCTGTATCAGCTGTCAGGCGTTGCTTTAAGATGAGTGTGAGCACCCTCTCTGTCAGCCAAAATGCACAAGGAGGCTGCTGCAGGAGAGCAAGGTCTGCACAGCCCTGTCAGTGCTCTGCTCTCCTGCACTTTCCGTTGCTGTCAGTAGTCCTAGAAATGGGTGAAGTAAGGAAGCTGAAAATCCTAGGCTATTTCTGATATTATTGATGTTTCACTGCTAGTTTGAGATTCTCTAGTGCTAACGCCAAATTCATACGCTGTTGGTAAGTTTAAAAAAAAATCCGGTTCTCCAAAAAGAAGTGCTTGAAAAGCAAAGGACCTGAAAAGATTTTTGGCCTTTGTTGCAGCTCATACCAAATAGAAGAGATATTGTATAATATCCTTGGTGTAGTATAAACTTTGGATACTTTAAAATCTCCAGTTATTTTTAAAAATCCATTTCTTTCTCTGTAGAACCTCTGGCACTGGTGATTTGGTAAATGTTACACAGTATTTCCCAACACAGGCTCTAAAGGTTGCTTTTAAGGACAAATGCAAACATATTTTTATGTCCAAAGGGGATAAAGGAAAACAGGTAAAAATAATCTTGTGCATATTAATTTTAATAAACAAAATAGATCTGGTCAAGAGCTGTGCACTCCTTTCCCTCAGCATGGCTGGTAATTAGTGGTGGTAGAAAGAGGCAGGTTTCCTGTGCAGCCTCGTGTTACAGCAATAAAATCTGGGGTTTGATCTTAAATGATTAATGACTTTGTGAGGTGTCTGCAAAGGTCCCTCCATTCAGATGGATTCCTGAAAGGCACACAGGCCAACACCCGTGGAATTAATGACAAGAAATCTTGGTCTTGGAATATGAAATGTTGATACTGGCATTTGGCGAATTGCATAAAATTCATTTGTATCAGCAGAATGGAAAATAAATAATTCATATCTGGTTTGTTTAATGTGAAAATAGATGGAAAATCTGCTTCATTTGTCTCTGTCTTAAGTTATCTCTTTCAGGATTTCTTTGATTAGGTTTTGATAATGTAAACAAAAAGCCAGTATTCTGTGTTTTCTCTTGTTGACAGTTCTTTACTACAGTGCCAGAAAATTTCCTTGCCACAGGCTTTTCTGGTAGTGCTGACCAGGAGGAATTCTGTCAGTCACTAAAGTTTGATTAATCTCCTGATATCACATGCAAATTCTTAAGCAGTCCTTTTTCAATTACAGTCATTTTGTATAAAAAGAGTTTAAGGTTGTTTTCTTTCCTTACTTACAGTGGAAAAAAGTGAAACAGGCATTGTGTAAATAACACTGTTTATAGTTCTTAAAATCTCCCTTCCATCTCCTGGAAGTGCTTCCAGATGGCTCACATGTGTATGAGCTCGTGACTCAAATTTTAGAAACATTCCATGAATAACACTCAAGATTAATTTCCTTAGAAGTACAATATTTAGCCAAGTGGCATATCCACTGCTGAAGCTAAGGGTCTTTGGATGCTGTCTTACATGTTCTGTTCAGGACAGGAAATGGGACACTACAGCTGCAGAGTTGTTCCCAAACTGGCAAATAAAAAGTCTGCACATGGTCTGCATTTACTGCACAAGATGTACCCCTGATGCAGTTAAAGGCAGCACAGCTACGTCAGAGCTGTAAAAAGTTATGTAAAATGTTTCTCCTACTGTGATCAGCTTATACCAGTGAAAAGATAAAAAAAACCCTCAGTGTAGGAATTGCTCTGAGACTGTCACGTTTCCTGATTATTTTGTAAATACAGTGTTTTGGACGGATCTTGTTCTTGGTGCTCTGAAGTTTCATTTAGTACAAAGGTCAGCAGTAATATTGTAATGCTGTGTTTTCATAGCTGTATGCAGCAATCTTTGTGTTTCAGTTTTGGAAGGGCGTTTTGGCAAACCTGGCTGCTGGCAGAGCAGCAGGAGCCAGATCCACTGAGATCAGCTCAGTCGTGTGCTGCTCCTGCTGGGGAAGGCAGTGAAACCTCTGCAGTGGCAGTGCCAGCTTTACCTGATGTGCCTCAGGTGTTACATTCACTTCATCCTAGAGGCAGACCAATGCACAATAATAATAGAATCGTTCCTGTTACTTAAAAATTTAACAATGAGCAATTACAAGCATAAAAGTAATAAAAGACATGCACAGTCTTTAAAGAAGAGGATGAAGTAGAGTGAAATAAAATTCTCTGGAAAAAGTGTTGTAGCTCTGTTTTGCATTTGTTTAGATTCTGTAGGGAAAAGTTTTAACTCAGTTTTACCAACTTTGGATGCAGAAACCAGAGGAGTTTGGTTTTTCCTGACTTAAGTTATTATGGGGTGTCATTTAAAGAATGAATGACCATCCTTGTTCCGTATCAAGAATATCAACTGAAGATTTTCTCAAACTGCAGATAATTTCTGGGTACTTTATGTCTCTAGATACATTTCATTCATTCAAATAAGTAAAATTATTTCCTGGAAAGCGTGTCTGGAAGGTTTTGCATTACAGAGAGAAATCTCTGCTGTCTCTGGGGCTGTTGGCTTTCCTGATCTGCCTGCAATGGACAACTTAACTCTGGTTGTTGTCTGTGCACCTGCTTTGCTTCACCTGTTGCTCCCTATGCCTTGTACTTGGGCTGAATTAATCATTTTGTGATGCCTTTGGTATAAGAAGGTGCACAGTTTGGAGTTCTTCCTTCAAAGATTGGTTTATTTCCTCCCATCTTTTCACCTCTAGAAAATTCCAAGAGCTGGAAAACAGATTTAAAATCTACACATACAATTTTAACTTTTTAAACTTTGTCACACAGATTTTTTAACTTTTGCTCCACTATAGGGAAAAGCTGAAACAAGTAACACTTCTCATACATCTGAGCAAGAATGCGTGGGGAGGAACTGAAAGCTTGGTATTCCATAGAAAAAAAAAATATTTCCAGAGAAAGAGGATTTGATCCTTAAGGATTCTGCTGGAGGACAGCAGCATTGGAATGGCAGTTATTTGAGCTGGGAATTGTTTCAGCAAATGGAAGTCACTACCTGTTTGAATATTCTGTCTTCACCTTTCCAGGTCTCTATGCTTTGTTAGAAAGAGACAAAGCAGTGATCTCCTCTGTTTAAAGGTCTCAGCTCTGCAGGGAGTCTGTGCTGAAAACAGTGTCTGCATGCATAACAATGTGCATACATTTCTCTTCTCGTAGGTGCTGCTGAGCAGCAGTTCCAGGAACTGGGGACTGGATTATTACAATTACAAATACAGATGGGCTTCCTGGCCTGTGCAGGGATTGGGTAGGTCAGCACAGGGAATTATTGTGCACCAGGCCCTCAGTTTTGGATGTTATGGACACCACTAAGGTAGCTTTTACAAACTGAAATGAACACCTTTTAAATCTTTGTCATCACATTTATTATGAACTCATGAGTGTGTTAGCAACAGCTTTTCCATTTACAGTTATTTGTGCCTGACAGACTATTACTGAAGAGCCGGGCCATTCTACAGTAGGAGAAATTGATCAAAATTACATTTCTTATCTGCTGGATTTGATGTGCATTTTACAGAACTTGTACAGGCTTCTACTTTTGTTTTGTAGTATTATATTCAGTTCACAGCTTGGTGAAAGCTTTTAATAGAAAACTAGGATTGATTTTCCTTTTCCTACTCAGAGACGGGTATTTGGAGCAGGACAGGTTTGTGGGTAGAATAATTTTACTAGGTTGTTCAGTAGCATTTGAAGTACACTTAATAATACTAATTCTTACTGTGAAGATTATCTTCAAATAAATAATTATTTTTTTAAAAAGTGAAAATGCTCTTGAGAAAGCAGGATTTTGTTTCCTGCATCCCTGAGGAAGTTTTGCCACCCGGCAACAGAAGGGGTTGTTAGTTCCAAAGTGTTTTGTTTCAAGGATCTCCTCTCTTGGTATTCCAGGAAGTCAAAATAAAATCTGAATAAATGCTGGCATAGAAATTGCTTAGGTCATTTCAGAAAATACCAGAGATACTTAAATTCTTACATAATGCCCTGCATACCTCTGGTAATCTGTCCTAAATATCACAAACCTTGAAGCTTACCCCATTAGCACTACTGATGTCTTCCTTTCAGACTAAAGGTGATTTCACTGGTTTATGCTGCATCCGAGCAGCAGGCCTGTAGTTCATGCTGGTTTTATTTCAAAGTGCTGTGCCTCTTGAGGCTTTGCCAAAGAATTGCCTCTGCTTCTGGTCATTAACTTGCCACTAGGATAGGGAAGAGTATAAAGATTACTAAAAC